GGTTCATGCTAGGCAGAGCTGGCCTAGGTGACCAGCCTGGGCACTGAATCTCTAATGGGCTTCCCTGGGCACATGTTGCTGCATTTTCATTGCTGTGTGGCCCTCTCAGGGAGGGACAGATGCAGGAAGCCTGCACCCAGGCTCCTCCAGACCCCCTGTGTCTTCTGCCTTCATGATCTGGCTTTGATCCCTTACTAGATATGGTAATAATCTCAGACTTGAGTACAGCTGAATCTTGGGACCCACTTGTCCCAGTTCTAGACAATCTCTGGATTTGGGGTGGTCTTGGAGATCCCAAACACAAAAGTGGAGTATACATCTCAGCAGTTTGAGAATTCTTTTTGAGAAATGCTACTCAAGACTGCAATATTTCAATTGTCCTCAAACATGGTAATCTTTGAAGGTATAATAGTTAAAAAAAAAAAAAAAATCACTGCCAAGAGCCAAGTCTGAATGACAAAGAGGTATCAGGATTAGTAAACTCATAAATACTGAAAGAGGACAGGTTCAAAGTGGCAACACATGCAGTTACACAAAAGTGATATCTAATAAATACTGTATAGTTTCTTTTCTTTTCTTGGGTAGAGACAGGATCTTGCTATGTTGCCCAGGCTGGTCTCGAACTCCAAGGTTCAAGTGGTCCTCCTACCTCGGCCTCCCCAAGTGCTGGGATTACAGCATGAGCCACTGCACCAGCCAATACTGTATTGTTTCTTTTGAAGAAATTAGAACAGAAAATTTCTTGAAAGAACCAGGGTGGAAGACTACCACAGGCCCTCTACCAGATACTATTTGTTAACAAGGCAGACAAAAGGAAAGTTTTTTTAGGTAGTGGTCTCCTACAAGGATGCCTTTTATAATTCTACCTCCACCTTCCATAGGTCCGATCCAGAAAACTTGCCTTCCAAACTGCACTAATCATCTCTTCCACTAAAATACAAATATTTAACTGCCAACCAGAGCTTCTGGTTAGTTTTGCCATTTATAAGCTGGTGACTTCATAAAAGCCACTTCGCTTCTGTAAATGACTGAGCTGAGATTTAAACAGATTCAAAAATAATTTCTAGACCACCATCACTGCCTTCAAGAAAGGCAAGTGTGAAACAAGAGTTATGTAAGAGGTGAAGTCAGCCCAGTCCTATTTTTGTAGCATATGTCACCATTTACACTCCCCAGTGACAAGCACAAAGCCACCTAGAGCACATCCTGCTTGTCCTTTGGGGCATCTCTGTCTTGTGCTTATAGTCATTCCTCTCCATCTATGTTATACTGATCTTACTCCAAGCCTCTTTCATGTTGCACTTTGTAATGAATTTCCAACTGCTAACCCTTCCTGATGGACAAACTGCCCCTCATATCTTCCAAGAGAGAGGACCAAGACATGAACTGGAAAAGGGGAGAGACGACTAGGCGGGCGAAGTGCATAGCTGGAGACTCAGAGCAGGTAGGTTCTTTCTGGGGGACACTCCAAAGGAGTGTTACCCCGGGTAACCCCAAAAGACTGTTTCAGACAGTATGGCTATTATACACTGCAGAGCATATCAGGTTCACTGCTGGCCACAGAACCACCAGCAGCTCCAGCAGCAGCAGTGCTGAGCGAAACAATCAATCTGGTTTCTTACAGGCCCTTCAATGTTGCCTCTCTGTTTAGCAAAACGCTTTTGCAAATCACTTCCAAATATATAGGTAATTTGCATCCTCAGTGTCATTTTTTCTTTACATTTTCCTACATATTTTCACAGGCTAAAATTTTATGGCTGTAATCCTTGTGACAGCAGATCCGCTGAGGGGGAAGGAAGCAAATGGTAGGCACTGTGGCAGGCTTGCAATAAATGTACTGATTAGAGGTGGGGATGAAATGAAGTACAGTGTGGTGGTGAAGACACTGAAGTCAGACTGCTTGCTATGTGACCTTCAGCAAGTTATTTAAATCACCAAGCCTCAGTTTCCCCATCTGTAATGTGATTATAATAACTGCACTTACTTCACAGACTGCTCTGATAAACTACTGGGACGTTTAACTGAGAAAATGCATGTAAGTGCTCATCCTAATACAAAATAAATAGTTTGTTGTTATTATTTAACTTTTAAACAGCCCTGCCGGTTAGGTATTACCATCCTCATTTCACAGATGAGGCAGTTGTGGCACAGGTGGTATGAGGATTAGAATCTAGAACTGCCGAACCCTGGGGCTCAAACTCTTCCTACCCACTGCCAGCCGAAAAGATCCCCCATGTTTTGTGACTTTCAAAGAATCAAAAGCCCGAAGCTTGACTATCTTAGGACAATGAAATCCTGTGTCTTCTAATAGTGATTATGAGATGCAGGGAAGCTCTATCACAAAAGGAGAGGGTGAAATAAACTGGTTACCAAGCTATAATAAGGGCCTCCCCCAGGGCTTGGAAAACAGACTGAAAGACAGGGAGATGGTTGTAGGGGAGGGGAATCAGCAAAAATGATGCACAGATTGAGATTCTGGATAGAGTGGCACGTCAAGGAATCAGGAGAGCTGACTGACAGCATAACTGTACAAGCAGTCATTTTGACCATTCCAGGCAATAAAAACACGGAGTGTCTTTGTCATTAGGTTTGAGACTGCTAGCATTTGATAAGCATCTCTTGGAGAGACATAATACCTAACAGATTGAAAGCAAAACTGACATTATTCTGCTGTCATTCAAAATAAACATGTACATCACATCCTACAGTCAGGAAAACAAACCTAAAACTTTGTGACCTGAAATTAAAAAAAAAAAAACCACCCTGCTTAGATCTGGTCCCCAAAATAAATCATACCTTGAACATTTCCTATAAATTATCAATATCTGGGGATAAGCCTTTTGTTAATGAGATAATAAAGTAAGAAAAGCTTTCGGTAGATAAGCTGGAGAAAAGTTTATGGTAAACACACTAATGTAAACTTGGTACTCTTGGTAATTTGGGTTTTTCTCACTTAAACACCTGTTATGTTTTTTATTTGACAAGGCAGTCATCGGGAGCCCTGACTCCTTTACACCCCTTTGTGAGTAAACGTCTTTGCAGTTTTACGTATCCTTGTATGAGTTTCCTTTCATGGGAACATATTAAAAGCTTTGAAAAGTCCTGCAGTAAAGAAATTTTAATTTAGCATTTTGACACTTATCTGAAGGCCCTACAGTCTATGAGGGCATGAACTTTGATTTCATACCTCTGCCACTTGGAAGCTAAATGACCTTAGGCAAGTGACTTCAATGCTGAAGCTCAGTTTTACCATCTGTGGAAGAGTGCTGGTTGCTGGATTATACACTACAGCACCTAAGAGCCCCAGCACATTGTAAGTCCCCAACAAACATTAGTTAGCACTTAAACAGAAGTGATCCCTTCTCAACATTCCAACCCAATCTTCATTTATATGGAGCAACATCCTGCAGAACACCCCTTTTGGGAAACAGAATTAAAGCTTTCAGGTCCAGCTATCTCCAGGTATACAAGGAAAAACCAAGATGATCCTGATTTAGGTCCTTGTGCCTCTACTAAGGTGTGAAATTTTAGGTAAATGTCAAGTCTTTCTGAGCATAAGATTCCTTATTTGCAAAATAAGATACTACAGAGTTGAGATTCAATTATAAAGCATTATTACATAAATGTGTACTGTTTTGTGGACACTTCTTAGATCAGGTACGGGAATAAATGGTGGAACTAAACCATAGAGCGAGGGGAGGAATAGAGAGGTTTTTCTAGGTGGCTACAAGCTGCTTTACAGTGCACAATGACCTAGGAATACTTCCTCCAGCAGGAGAAACTTTATATAAATAAAAATATATAAACACACACAAACCCGTCTTCACAAAACACCTTCTAGTACAAATAACCTAGTAAAAGTCTTCTTATAGACACTAGGTGCAAATTTCTGACAACAGCTTAACATAAGCCACCTGGGCCTTGGATAAATTGAACAGTTAATATACACTAATACTAATAGGAAACTTATTACACAGTCACGTCTCAACTATTCATACCAATGAAGAGAAGTAACAACACAGAAAATAAACTGTTTATTCCACAAACTCTACAATTGTTTTTTAGCAATGTTTCCCACAAAAAAAATATTAAATGAAATTTGCCTTTTCCAAGCATACAATTCAATTTTCGTTTTCCAAACATACAATTCAATAGGACTAGACTCCATTACCAGTAAGCCACAAGCTGACCAAGGAATGAGGGTGTTACACAACCACACTATTCTATTTCACAGGAGCAGTCGCAGTGTAGCTATCTGGCTTTCTATTTTCTACAACAAACCATCCATTACCGTGGCATTTCTCCTCGTAAATGGCTCTCTCAGTAAGATAAGAGTGTCAACCTCTTTCAGTCTCAGTCTCCTGCACTGTAAAATGGTAATAATAACTACTAAGTTGTCTTACTGTGAAGTCTGATGATAATGAATATAAAGCACTTGGAAATATGCAGGGCGCTTCACCGATATTCAGAAAATGCTATCTGTCGTTATTATTTTCCACACAACAATTTTTACTTGCTAACTCTCTGCAAGTTTAGATTGCATCTGGATTCTCCAAACTTCGAGGCCCTTATAATCTATTAACAAATTACTCCCACGTGGTATCCCCATTTGTAACCGTCCTCTTGGGGTCCCTTTAATCAATTCCAAGTCTTTTCCAGTTAAACCGTAAGCCCCAGAGCCCTCCCCACAAGGCCCAGCATCCTGCACGGCCCTGGCTAGGACGTCCTTCCTCCCAGCCCACAGGGGCCACGCTTCAAACTCGCGGCGTAGCCCCCAGGGCTGGCCTCGCCCCGCGTCTCACTCATGCATCCCCCGGATCCCCGGCTCTGGCCGGCGCTCGCTCTGCCTCGCAAAGCCCCCGCTGCTAACAGCTGAGTAACTTTTCGAGTCCCGCTCTAGCCTCAGGTTCCCGAGCGGCAGAATTGGCGCGCACCGGCACCCCTGCGGCCTGGGGGAGCGGCCTGAAGTGGCCCGGCGCTCCTGGCACCCGCGCACTGACCTGCAAGTGACCTGCTTGGTGCTCATGGTGGCAGGGCTGAAGGACCGTTGTCGTGCCGCCGCCTCTCGCAGCCGCTGCCGCCTCGGCCTTGGCCCTGGCCCGGCCCATCCCGCGTAGCCGCGTCACGCCGGCGCACGCCGCCCCGTCGGTGTGGCACCTTTGTAGCGCCGGCGGGTAACCTAGCCGCCGTCACAATTGGTTCCGCACCGGGGGTCGGGCAGGCGGTCCCGGCATCCCTGCTCTGGGTGTCCCGCACTTCCAGGCCTCCGGGGCGGAGCCTGGCTGGCATCCTAGTCCTGCCAGTCTTATCCCTATGCCTACTGTTAGTGCCTCCGATTCTGCCCCCATCGCCAAGAGTATTCCTTAGCGATCTCCCGCCTCCTTCGAGGCACTTCACCCCTCCTGGGGCAAACTCCCGCCTCTCCTCTTAATCCCAGGTTCCCCATTCAAACTTGCACTCACTGGGCACCCTTCTCAAGCCCTGCCTCAACTGTTCCCGCCGGACCTCGCCTTCCACTTAAGGAAATTCCTTAGCCCTCTCCCAACTGCTCTTTCCCCAAATCTCTACTTCCACACGTTTTAGTCTTCATTTTCTTTCCTGCCAGTCCTGTGCTGTTCGTCTTCCATTTCCTATGATGGAAACCCCAAAAGTTATTTTTGACACTTCCCTCTAGCTCTCTATACCCTGCAGATTCTGCTCCCACACCTCTGTCCAATGAGTCCTCTTCTGCCCCTTTCCACCGTCAGCGTTCGTCGAAACAACCATCCCTTCTACCTAGCACCATGCAATAACTCTTCTTTTTTTTTTGAGACGGAGTTTCTCTCTTGTTGCCCAGGCTGGAGTGCAGTGGGGCGATCTCGGCTCACTGCAACCTTCGCCTCCCGGGTTCAAGAGATTCTCCTGCCTCTCAGCCTCCCAAGTAGCTGGAATTACGGGCGTGCACGCCCGACCAGCCATGCTATAGCCTTTTAACTGGTCTTTTGGCTTCCGCTCCAGGTAAAAATCTATTTTTAAAACATAAATCGGATCATGTCATTCACCTTTTAATGTTACAATGGTTTCTCATTGCTTAAAAACTCGAGATACATAACATGGCACAATATAAGTGCACAAAACACATTCTGTGAATTTTTGCACATGCATACACTCACGAAACTACCACCCAGATCAAAATAAAGAATTTTTTGTTTTGTTTTGAGACAGGGTCTTGCTCTGTCGCCCAGGCTGGAGGGCAGTGTCGCCATCATAGTTCAAGCAATCCTCTGCCTTAACCTCCCCAGCAGCTGGGAATACAGGTACGCGACACCATGCTCGACTAACTTCAAAGTGCTGGAGTAAGGAGAGGCTGAGCCGGAAGGATCCTTTGAGCACAGTTCACTGCAGTCGAGGCTACAGTGAACTGTGATCACACCACTGCACTCCAGCCTAGGTCACAAAGCAAGCCCCCGTCTCTTTAAAAAAAAAAAAAAAAAAAAGGTGGGGGGGGGGGGGTGGGGGTGGATATCATCGACACCCCAGAAGGCTTCCTTATGGTCCTTCCCAGTCAATACTTTACAAAAGTCATTGCTTGGGTTCATCTCTATCACTAAAAATTAGTTTAACTATTCTTGACTTTCATATAAATAATAATTCAGTACCTACGCTTTTGTCTGCCTTCTTTTGACCAACATTATATCTGTGAGATCTTTCCATGTTATGTATATATAGCTGTATGTTCTTCTTTTACTTTGCTATAAAAATATTGAGACTTCCAATGAATGAGCATGGTATATACTTCCAATTACTTAGAACTTTTGAAATTTTTCTCAGGAATGTGGAAGTATACTGGAAATTTTGTTTTCAGTGTCTTGAATATTGCATTTTAATTCGTAACACATTTGATCCATGCAATTCATGCTCATAAAAATTCCATGTCTTTTTTTTTTTTTTTGAGACAGAGTCTTACTCTGTCACCCAGGCTGGACTGCAGTGTCTTGCTCTTGGCTGACTGCAACCTCTGCCTCCCGTGTTCAAACAATTCTCCTGTCTCAGCCTCCGGAGTAGCTGGGATTGCAGGCGCACGCTGCCACGCCCAGCTAATTTTTTCGTGTTTTAGTAGCCAGGGGGTTTCACCGTGTTGCCCAGGCTGGTCTCGAACCTCTGAGCTCAGGCAATCCACCCGCCTCAGCCTCCCAAAGTGCTGGCATTACAGGTGAGAGCCACCACGCCCAGCCCGTGCCACTTATTTTTAAAATTCAGCTTATCTCATTCTTTATGGAATACATTCACGATATGAATGTTATTATGTTCAAATATTTTAAAAGTGTAAAGTGAAAAGTCTCAGTCTCCTGTCAATTTAGTTCTCGCCTCTTCAAAACAAAAAGCAGAAACATTTTTTTAAAACTCAAAACCTAGCCACTGTTACAAACTTTGTATACATCTTTCCAGAATTTCTTTAAATATACACAAATATATTTCTTTAAATATACATATTTTCTACCCTTTTTAGAAAAGATAACATACATACTGTTCTGCACAGCATACATAATCAGTGAAGATTTTTCCATATCAGTACATAGAGCCTCTTCCTCCTTTTGTAGAACTGTATAGTATTCCATTGTACGACTATGCCATAAGTTATTTCATCAGCCTTGTACTGCTGGTCCCCTTTAGGGTGTCTGCACACTAGATTGTTCTCAGGATCTCCTGAGGGCTGTGTCATGGGCAAAATATACATATATGGAAAAAAATAATAAAACACTGAATCAACGACAGCCAATGTGCACTTCCACAAGCTGTACCAAACAGCTTGGTTCCTGCCACTGTCATGGTACTTAGCACTTAGATTTTTCCCGAAGGATACAAGCAGTCTCCGCTTGAGGTTCTTCTGTTATCTGGCACTAAACACCAAGTCCTGCCCTACCGGGGAAGTGGAACTCATTTTCCTCACCCGCAGGGAACCCACGCTGGCAGAGAACGCAGGGCCACTCGCTCCTGCCCGCAGCAGGGGCGCATAAAACTTTACGTCTGCTTAGATAACCACCAGCTCCCGTTCTCGGCCCATAGGAAAAGCAACTTTGCTACCAAACACACAGGGGAAAAAGGCGTGTCAGATGGAGGCGGGTGAAGACGCTGAGAAAACAGAAGAGAAGGGTGGCTCCCAGCTCGAGACTCAAAACGGCCATCTGGGCGTAGAGACACAGAGACCCTTTGCGCAGACGCGCCGAGGGTCTTGCAAAGCTTTCGTTTTCTTTGTGTGCCGGTTTGTCCCTAGATGCAGTTTTCGATGCTATTTCAAACGATATTCCTAAAATTTCCGAATTGCTTGTTGCTTATATGTAGAAATACACTAGATCTTTGTACACTGAGCTGGGATTCAGCTCCATGCTAAATTTTGAATTAATTCTAATGGTTTATTTGTAGGTTGTTATCGATTTTCTACAATCACGCCATCAGCAAATAATGACAATTTTGCTTGCTTTTCATCTTTATATCTTTTTCTTTTCCTTGCTTTATTGCATGCACTGTCTACAGCCTTCAGAATAATGTTAAGAAGTAATAATGGTGTACATCTTATTTTGTTCCTGGAGTCAATGAAAATATTTAATATTTTAATTTAAAATTATTTAATATTTAAGTTTAAAATATTAAACTAATACTTTAATTAAAATGTTAGTCCTATATTTTTTTGAGGCTATCCATTGCCAAGTTAAGTTTCTTTCTAGTTTTCTTAGCATTTTTATCGTGAACACATCTTGACTTTTATCACTTTTTTTTTTTTTTTTTTTGCATGAACTGAGAAACCTATATTGTTTTTCCCTTTTATACTGGTAATGTATTGAATTATACTGATTGATTTTTAATGTTAACCCTCTCCAATTGCTCAGGATAAACCCCACATGACCATGATATATTTTCTATAAATCATCTATTTGTTAAAAATTGTGTTTCGAATTTTTGCATCCTTGTGTGTGAGAGATATTAGTCCGTAGAGTTCCTTTCTTATAATGTCCATGCCAAGGGTTGGTATCTGGGATATGCTGGTCTCATAAAATGAGTTTGGAAGTCTTTCTTTTCTACTCTCTGGAAACATCTGTGTAATATGGGTATTAATTTTTCCCTTAAATGTCTGGAAGAATTTACTATGGAAGCCACCTCAGCCTGCAGTTTACTGTGCATGAAGATTTTTTTTTTTTTTTTTTTTTGGAGACAGGGTCTCACTTTGTCATCACCCAGGCTGGGGTGCCATGGTGCGATCTTGGCTCACTGCAGCCTCTACCTCCTGGTTTCAGCCCCTCAAGTAGCTGGGACTACAGGTGTGCGCCAGGCACGCTCCACCACTCCTGGCCAATTTTCGTATTTTTTGTAGACAGGAGATCTCACTATGTTGCTCAGGCTGGTTTCAAACTCCTGAGCTCAAGCAATTTGCCCACGTCGGCTTCCCAAAGTGCTAGGATTACAGGCGTGAGCCACCACGCCCAGCCTGCAGGAAGATTTTTAATTAAATATTTAAATGTGGGGCATGGTGGGTGGCTCACACCTGTAATCCCAGAACTTTGGGAGGCCTAGGCAGGTGGATCACCTGAGGTCAAGAGTTCAAGACCAGCCTGGCCAACATGGAGAAACCCCAACCCTACTAAAAATACAACGTTAACCAGGTGTGGTGGCGCATGCCTGTAATCCCAGTTACTCAGGAGACTGGGACAGGAGAATTGCCTGAACCTGGGAGGCAGAGGTTTTGGTGAGCCGAAATGGCACCATTGCACTCCAGCCTGGGTAACAGAGCGAGACTGCATCTTAAAAATAAATAAATAAATAAATAAAAATAAAAAGTAAAAAAATTGAAAAGATCTCATTGCTTTCTTATATATAAAACCATTTGGATTTCATTTTTTATGGCAGTTTTGGAAAGCTTTTTTTTTTTTTTGAGATAGAGTCTCGCTGTGTTGCTCAGGCTGAAGTGCAGTGGCATGATCTCAGCTCACTGCAACCTCTGCCTCCAGGGTTCAAGCAATTCTCTGCCTCAGCCTCCCAAGTAGCTGGGATTACAGGCACCCACCATGGCTAATTTTTTGTATTTTTAGTAGAGACGGTGTTTCACCATCTTGGCCAGGCTGGTCTTGAACTCCTAACCTAGTGATTCACCTGCCTCGGCCTCCCAAAGTGCT